ATCCACGTATATCATAATAGAAACAACGATGGATCATGGAGTCGACCGAAGTAGCGAAAAAGATGGTGCCTTGATGGTCGTGTCACCAGTGGAATGCTAATATTTGGTTATATCTTGCCCAGACAAGCCCCGGTGCATAACCCCTATTATTCTGTACTTTATTTTATGCTTGTGCATTAAGTTTCAAGGAGTTAAATGAAAACTCACTTGCATATATATATTCTTATCCTACGAGTCCTACTAGTATGTCAGGATCGTGTAGATTGCTCTGCTATAGGATTCGGTAAAAGTCGAGTGATTACTTGTCACTCACGAGAGATAGAAAAGATATTATTGTTGTTATTATATTATTATCACATGGAATATATATGAATGATAATTGGAGACCAGATAGAATGGTACTTTGGATATGGACTTAGTTAGGCAATCGAGCGAGGCTCGGATTGCACTTGTTCCATCTGTGTCGATTTAGGACCGTCCGTTGTTGTGTATGGTAGTCAGGTCACAGACTTATTATCCTGAGCACATACTTGCTTATGGGAGCGGAAAGGCTTGTTACACTCTTATTGTGGGTTCTGACTCTTTCTGGGCCGACTGATTGAAGGTGGGGAAAGATGGAGGTCTAAGCACCATACTAAGACCGGGTCTTAAGTGTGGGGGCTTGGAGTTCAAGTTTGGACGGGGACCTGGACCCATTGGCAGGAGTGGAATGGGTTGGTCTTAGTTGTGCCTGAGATACAAACAGAGCGTGTGTTTCAGGATACTCAGCTAGAATACATTGATTCATAAATCGCCGTTTCTGTGAGGTGGTACCGACTTGGCTATGGTCTAGCACCATACTAAGAACTGAAACTTGAAAGATAATAAAATGATTCTGATTGTTTACCACCTGCTTGAAAGTAGCATAGGTGCTTACATAGAATGTTAGTTAATGAACTAATGATGACTGCTAATAAAATTAAATATAAGGACGCATGTTAGTAATGTTTCTGTAGATGCAATAACCCACAAGCCAAATAGGCCTTACATATCCTTAGTCTTTTATTTTTCTACTGTCGGGTAAGTCTTGCTGAGTACAATCAAGTACTCAGGGTTTTATTCCCCTACTGCAGATGATCGGAGGATACATAGAGCTGACTCTGGTATGTGAAAACCTCCTAATGGGCTCAGAGAGGATTTCTTTTACGCTACGACCGTAGTGTTTATTTATAACTCTCACTAAAGGTTTTTATAAGAAAAGATATAAAATCTGCTAGCATCTCTTGTATAAAAATGTCCACTATGTTAATGCTCCACCATACCATTAAATTAATCTTGCTTCCTCTGTAACTCTGATAACATTGTTATATTCCGCTGTTATAATAAATTGAGATAATATTTTTGTACTGTAATAAAGTGATGTAAGAAATGACTTAAGAATGTTATAAGCTTTATTCTCTCATCTACGATCCTGATGAAAAATATGGATTTTCGAGTTCTCTTTCGTGGGTGCTCGACAAAACTGCGTAGTTTAGTACCCTCCCTTAAATACTTAGGGTCAATAGAAGACAAATACTCATACAAGATATTAGATTATACGGTTCTGCCACAAAATCACTCTTGCATTTGGACATCTCTTTCAGCCCGTAACGTCTTTCTTCACTTTTTCTTTCGTAGAGAGCAACTCGCGTACCGTCAGTACTGGCTATCGTTCTCGATACGATATGGCCCACATGTGTACTGTGGAATAGAATAAAATAAATTGGGGTTATCGTATGTATTAAAAAAATATCTGTCGGTTCCCCGTCCTAAAATATGTGTCGATTCCCAGAAACAACTTTGATAGAATATGTATTAAAAATATTAATATTTATGATATAAAATTGGTATCATCGAAAAGATTTTTGAATCTAGTTTTTTAACATATTTATTTGAGATATTAATATTGGACGTATTTTCTATAAATTGTGTTAAACTTGTGGCACAGAAACCAAAATCAATAGTTAATTTGAGACCGGGGAGCACTATCATCAACTGCAACGAATCGTACCCAGTATTTGTCTTTAACGACCGGATAATCGTACTATATATATAGCAGTTAACTTGCTAATCAACACACTTGTGTGCAAGCAGTTGTTGCATATGACTAACCACCAAAAAAGTGCAGAACCATAGTTAGATTGGGCCATTTGCGGTAATTCTGCCACAACTGTTGTCACTACTCTAACTACAATTTTTTCCTACGTGTGCATCATCATCAGTGCCCCAGGTTTGACAAGTCAGCGCCGTATCCCCTACCTAACCTTTGCCTCTCCACCAGATTCCGGTATAGTAATAACGATGTGGTGCCCGACCGTGCCCCCTTCGATCACTACTGTACTCCACTGGCAAATCCGCAATACTACAGCAGACGCGGCCGATTGACCGTCGCGAGTTGAAGCGAGCCGTCACAGCCTGCTGGTGCTGGGTGCTTGCATCGGTGGCCATGGACCATGGTGCCGTCCGGTCGCGATCGGAGTCGGTCGGCACGCACTGATTGGCCTGTGGGTTGGTTGATACTTGATGGACGTGCGAACAGCAACCGCCGCATCACCTTCTTCTCTCTCACTCAGCTAGGCCGGCACACAGCTACGCGCGCGGAGGCGATCAGGCGAAGCAGAATCATTCGATCGCTAGGAGTATAGCCGTTGCTAGCAGCAGTGGACGCTTCCATGCGCGGCAAAAGCAAAGCTGCTGCTCCTACGACTGGCCCCGCCCCGTCTGGCCGGCCGCCGCAAAAGCCACCGACGGCGACGGCTACCGGGGCCAAAAGGCACAGGCTACGCTACGCGCCTACGCGTACATGGATAGTACGCCTCTTCGTCTTCGTGCCGTATGTGTACGAGCGCGCGCGCGCACGTACTGACGTAGTACTACGGGCGGGGAGGAGAACAGCCTGGACGCCTGGCTGGCTGCGCATGCTGGCTCTCAGCCCGCGCGGGCCGGGGACCACGCGACGGCTCGGCGGCCTCGGGGCCTCGGGCACGGACACCGCCGGACGGGTCGGAACGCATCTAGCGGTCCTCCAGCGGCCGGCCTCCGGGGCCGGGGACGCATCGGCCTCGCCCACCCGCACCCGGCACCCAGGTGGCCCGTGGCCCGCGTGCGCGCACGTACGGCGGACCCGAAGCGGAGGGACTGGCTCTCGCTGACTGGCGCTGCTGCTGCTGCGGTGCCCCATGCCCGTGCACGTGATCCGAGGCGGCTTTATCGTGAGCTAGGACGGGCGGACGGACCGCGCCATGAAAGCAAAGCTGATGCCCCGCAACGGGCCACCTGGCAAAGCTGATGCCCCGCAACAGCGCAGGCGGGCGTCAAGTCCAGTCAGCTGCCGTCCGCAACGGGCCGATACCCCGTACGATCTGCCGCCTGCCGTGCTCAGCCTCTCTTCTCTCTCTCTTCCTCCGACCCTGGTGCACAACTCATATAGCATATATAATTATCTTAAAATATATGATAATTTTGAAACTGTGTAGTGGTAAAACATTTTCGTACCCTGGGGCCTGGGCACCAGGCAAGCTGTACCTGGCGTCGCCCCTGTCTGGCTGTGGTGCCACAGTGCGCGCGGCAATGACGAGACCGGTGGTGATGTCGCTTGCCACCCACCCACCTCGCCTTTGCTGTTGCTGCCATGTCTCATCGACATGCACCATGTTCGCTAGATCGTATCAAACATATTTATTAGTTATGATACAATATTTTCTTCTCACAATAAAATAATATCAGCCAGCTTATAAGCCACAGAAACGATCCAGCAAACAGGGCGATGTTTCCCACAAGATACGCATGCTATTGATATATATACTCTGTACAGTGTGCTCCTATTCCCGGTTCTACGTCCCCACAACAAAGCAGTCTCTACTCTCTACTCTACCGTGATCAGCATCACAATTCACACCTGACAAAGCATGGGGGCTAGGAGTAGTACGTGCTGGACAAGAGGAGGATAAGACGTTTCTGCCCCCCCTGATTAAAGGCAGCTGGCTTCAAAGTCACGAGAAGGGAGGCCGTGTGCCGTACTAGGAATCTACAGGAGTTGCACATGGCCCCACGGACGGCCATCACCAGCAGGCAGCAGCCATCGGCCAGTAGCAGCGCAGCGGGGTGCAGTGCAGTCAGTGTTGGTCCGTGCCCACCCGGCCGCTGACTGTATGCGGTCCACGGCCTCCTCTCCTCTCCTCTACACGCTCCTGCGTCCCTGCCCCTGCTTTTGCGTCTCTGACACGACGGGGCGAATCGCATCGCATCGCAGCCCAATCGCCGTCGCCAGTCGTCTCGCAGTCGCAGCAGCAGCAGCAGCAGCAGTGAGGCTAAAGAGGTTGCCCATGAAACCATGAGTGTACAACAATTTCTCAACGTACGAGTACGAGCAAGTAAAGAAAATCCCTACCATGTACTGTCAGTCACTTGAGAACTCTGAAAATCGATCAGGACACAAAATCCTCGGATGACACGCATGTTTATCCTCCAAATGGTTGCCAGAGGCCTCAAAACCACATACTAATAGTACAGTAGTATCAGATAATGTTTCCTGAAAAATATTCCAATAAACAAGGCGAGCGTGCTGTGCGGGCATGCAGATTGCAAAATCAAGCCCCAGCACTCCAGCAGTGGTAGTTGCAGGCAGCCTCATCGGAATCAGTCCAGTGCGGCCTCTGTAGAACAGGACTGTAGCTTTATTCATAAAAGGATTCCCCCAGTCCCCAGAGAGCGTACAGCGTACGTACAAGATGAACAGCCATGGCTACATAGCCTCAGCGACAACGTTCAAAACGACAAAACTAGCAAAATTATTCAGTGTGCAAGCACAGTGTAATTTTACAGCACGATAACTAGCTGCCAAATATACTACTCGCGACTCAATGAACTCGTGTCTGACCATCCGTAAGGAAATATACTGGTGCTCCGTTTCCAAGTTCCAACAGACGAGAAAGCAGAGAGGAGCAGCACGGGTTTTTTTCCACTCCTTTTGGAAACTTGGTTCATTCGTTCTTCTTCTCGAACTTGGCCCTGTCAGCGCCGCTGTAGGGGGCGACATGGTATGCGTATTGCTGGATGACGGCGAACACGACCATCTCAAGGATAATCAGGACGTTCTGGATCGCCTCCTGGATGTGCTCCACGTCCAGCCAGAAATGGTGGGATTTGATCACGCCTGCTTCAGTTAAAATATCGAGCGCAAAACCCTGCAAACCAAAATGTGCAATGGGTGTATTCCATCAGGGTGAAAAAGTGGAGAGCAAAGTGGCACTTCAATCAATCAAAATAGGCAAATAGCTCTTTCCGTTCCACAATGTGTTGTGGGCGCTAGGCGTATCGGGTAGGGAATTCAGAGAGAGAGAGAGAGAGAGAGGCTGGTGAGCGAGAGGTGGTGCGGCGGCGAGGCAGCGACGCCGTGCTCGGCGTCGCCCACGAACGGGGAGCGGGAGAGATTGAACTCAATCTCCAGCTAGCTTCTCATTAACCAACGTGTTTAGGCTTTATAGCCTGAAGCCTAACAACCAGAGACTACGCCTAACAAACTGAGCTAACAAACTGACTAATCAAAGATCCTAAAGAATAGGAACACCAGAGACTACGCCTAACAAACTGAGCTAACGAACTGACTAATCAAAGATCCTAAAGAATAGGAACGGTGCCGCCGTGGGCGCGGTGACCACGCACATCCCGCGCGTCCCGCGCATGCTACTCCTTAGCCACTGCTATGCTTCGTCCGTAGGTAATCGTTGCCGTACATAACACTTCTCCCCCCCTCGACAAACAGCTCGTCCTCGAGCTGAAAGCAAGGGTGCGCCGCGCGGAACGTCTCGACGGGCTCCCATGGTGTGTCGGCCTCGGACATACCAGCCCGCGGGGCTAGCACTTGAAACGGCGAAGGTGCTCGGAACGGCTGCAGAACGCCCACTAGGACGTCATCGTTGATGCGGGCACCTGCAAGGGGCTGGAGGTGGTAGGCCACTGCGTCCATGCATGTGAAGTTGTGGTCTTGCCTTGCATACCCAGGACCCAGCTGACCACGGGAGCTTGCCACCCAGTACCGGACGGAGCGATGGAACAGGAGAGGCCATACGCAGGCACCCTGAGAGAACTGTAGCTCACGGTGGTGCATGTCGTAGTGGTGCGAGACGTAGGCCTGGTCATGGGGAAGACGCGCACACACCACCGCGAGGGGTTTGTCTTGACCGTGGTCGGTGCACCAGTCGGCATGGAGCTGCTGGGCCCTCTGGTGGACGACCTTGTGTGCGGCCGTGTGCGCCAGCTTGCAGACCTGGGAAGGCGGGGTCAACAAGCATGGCACGAAGACACGGTCGCCGTAGAGGATGAGGCCGTCGCTGACGAGCCAAGGGGCGCCCCGATGGTCGGTGTTGAGGGCCTTGTGGATGGCGCGGATGTAGGGGGGCCCGCCAGCTCTTGGCGCAGCTCGGCGGACCACGGAAAGGGGGACCTCGAGAGAGAGACCGCTAACAGCCCGTGGCTGCCATGGCGGAACAAACCATCCGCCACCGTGTTGAGGCGGTCGGCCCGGAATTGCACTCGTTGCGCCGGAGTCGGATTTGTTGGGGAAACGAGATGGAAGCTTGATCAACTGAAGGAGGCCGCCACTGTGGAGGGCCTCCGTCTGGTTCCGCTCGCTCGTATCACAGGAGCGGATGAACACACGGACGAGCCGCTTGTCGACGTCGACGAAGAAATCCGAGCGGAGGCTCTGCAATGTCGTCTGCGGGCCATCGTGACCGGTCGCGTGGGTGATCTGCAGGATCGTGGCCGAGTGGGTGAGCTGCAGGATCGTGGCCGACGTCGCTGAAGAGGCAGGGACCTACACAAGGGCGTCGCGGAGGAAGAGGCCATCCACGACGCACGGCGGCTCACCATTGGCAGTGACGAACAGGTCGCGGAGGGTCCGGAGGTTGGCGGTGTCCTGACTGTCACGACGGATGTCCCCGAAGAGGTTGATGAAGGAGGGCGTCGACGGTGCGCTACGGCGCGAGCCATCTGCTGCGTTGCGAGACCGCGCACCCGCAACCGTGGTGGGGCGATCAAGTCGTGCTGGTGCGGCGTCGCGCCCTGCGTTGAGACGGCCAGTCGCTGGAACGTCGGGGTGCGGCGAGCCCAAGCCCCGCCATAGGACACGGCGGCCCTCCCGCCAAAAGGCTATGCAGGAGTCGTCGAAGTCCCATAGAATCGGCCCCAGCATGCGGAGGAAAGTGGCGGCGAGGACCATGTCGTAGCAATCGAGCGGAACAGAGTAACAGTCAATGGAGAACAGCTCCGCTCCGAGGCGGATGGCGACGTCGTGCGCGAAGCCCTGGCAGGCCACTCGGCCACCATTGGCCACAGTGACATGGGCGCCTGCACTGGAGTGGAATGCGAGGCCAGCCTGCTGAGCGATAACAGGATGGATGAAGTTGTGCGACGAGCCGGCGTCGAGCAGCGCGACGAACTGCTAGGTGGTGATGGAGAAGTGCAGCCGCATAGTCTCCTCCGTGCGGATCGCGGCCATGCCCTGGAGGGAGAGCACCGGGGTGTTCACGGCCAGCTTGAACTCCTCTGTGTCGGCCGTCCTGGCGTCATCTGGATCAGTGACCTCGTGATAGAAGAGGCGTTGGCACTTGTGGTCAGGGGAATACTGCTCGTCACAGCTATAGCACAGGCCCTGGCGGCGGCGTTCCGCGAGCTCCGCAGAGGACAGACAGCGGAACGGGCACGGTGGTGGTGGCAATGCCAGCGAGATCGCCATGGGCGGCTGCGCCGAGCTGGGAGGCGTGACGGTTGGTGGCAGAGAACGAACCGCCGGCTTGTTGGTGCGAACACCTTGCTCCGATGGTGGTCGCACAGCCTGGCCGTGTTGCTCCAGGTCGCGCGCCAAGCTCATGGCGCGCTGAGGATCCTCCAGTTCGGGTAGCTCAACGTCGACGCGGACATAATCAGAGAGCCCGCTGGTGGGAAGGTGCGCTTGCTGGTGTGGTGAGTGCTGGGTAGCAGACGCCAGCCGAGCCGGAACGACCTCTTGGACCTCATCAACGGTGGCGTGACATGGCCAGCGCTCCAACTCGTCCGGGCGATGGGGACTGAAGGCCGGCACGAAGCGCTGAAGGCACAACGCCTTGAAGATGTCCCAAGTGAAGGCGCCCACATCCCCGGCATCCTGGTCCACCCGGTAGTACCACTGCTGGGCGACCCCCGTCAGATGGAAGGAAGCCAGCCAGACCCTGTCGCGGTCCATGGTCCGCTGCAGGTGGAAAAATTGGTCGCACTAGTTCATCCAGCCTGAGGGATCTTCGGCGCCGTCAAATGTGGGGAAGGAGAGCTTGAGGATCCCTGGGACCATTGGTGCTTGGCAAAGCGCCGGCGGTGGCGTCCGGTTCTCCACTTGGCTGAGCCGAGTATCCAGATCGGCCATCTGGCGCTGGAGGTCGTAGACAGCGATCATGAGATTGTCGATCGCAGCCACCGGGATTGTCGTGGCGGGGAACATGTCCGGCGCAGATCGCGCAGGTGCGCCAGGCGGCGTGGAGATGGGCACGGTGGCGATGGTGGTCGACGCGGCGGCGGCAGAAACGGAAGTAGGCTCGAGTCCTGGCATATCCGATACCAGATGTGGGCGCTAGGCGGATCGGGTAGGGAATTCAGAGAGAGAGAGAGAGGCTGGTGAGCGAGAGGTGGTGCGGCGGCGGCGGCGGCGACGCCGCGCTGGCGTCGCCCACGAACGGGAGCGGGAGAGATTGAACTCAATCTCCAAATAGCTTCTCATTAACCAACGTGTTTAGGCTTTATAGCCTGAAGCCTAACAACCAGAGACTACGCCTAACAAACTGAGCTAACAAACTGACTAATCAAAGATCCTAAAGAATAGGAACACCAGAGACTACGCCTAACAAACTGAGCTAACAAACTGACTAATCAAAGATCCTAAAGAATAGGAACGGCGCCGCCGTGGGCGCGGTGACCACGCACATCCCGCGCGTCTCGCGCATGCTACTCCTTAGCCACTGCTATGCTTCGTCCGTAGGTAATTGTTGCCGTACATAACACAATGGAAGAGGTTCCTTCGCACTGGCCGACTAATACAAAGGGAATATGTCCTCCAGCAGGATCACACTACAAATTAAGCTTGTCCAAAATGGATGAGATACCTCAAATTCACAAGCTTCTTTCAGTTTTCCTTTTTAACTGTAGCTTTCATTTCCACTACTACACCTCTTTCTACAACTCTTGCTGTCTCTGTCACCATAAAGTAACACGTACTTGTGACACTGTTTTATAATGAAATTATTATCTGAAATTTACATGTGATTGCATGCATTAAAACAGTAAATGGAGTTTGTAAAATGGAAATTATGGCACGAAAGTGGACACAAGGTGCTCATACATAAACCCTAACTAAATCAAAGAATTAACGAGAAATGAAGCTTTTCATCTTAAGTCATGCCAAGCAGGTACTATCTAATACACATCAATCATCCAGTGAGTTGTCTATAAGCAATCAAGAGAATCACCCGTGCAAAGTTATATAAAGCTTTCAGAAACACTGAATATTTAACCAAACAGCCATTCAGGTAAAGATGAGATATACCTGCCAGAAAGAGAAGAAGACAATCCCTTTGATGCACAAGAACTTTGCAAGAGGCTTGTGAGGTGCCAGCTCTTTAGCAAACAAGTGGTAGAAAAGAACCAAGGCATATAAGGCCATGGAGACTGAAAAGTTTAGTATAATACTAAACGTCCAGCTGACCCAACTGGGGTACAGCCCAAGAAGCTGAAGTGCAATAATCAGAATGGAACATACTGGCCTAACAATAACAAATTGCCAGGTCCAATACTTCAGAAGCCTTAATGTCTTGTGCTCCAATCGGACATTGCGGGGCTGCCATAGTAGAATGCATCAGATTATTAGTTCCTTTCAACAAAGAATCAAAGATAGAAACCAAAACTAAGAAATGTGTAAACTTAAATACAAATTGAGCTGCCAACAGTTATTGAAATTCCAATGTACGTTATAGGTACAATATATAATCGTTTAAGAATGAGGCAAAGCAAAGTTCAAGACACCATGGTTCTATAAGGCGGTAAGGCAAGGTGTGGCGACCTCCACCACTTCCAAATGCCTACACAATTAGAAGACGACGCAAGGCAATGTCCTACCAATCTAATCTAAGAAACTGCAAAACTACTGCATGAAGGAAGACAAAGGAAAAGGGAAAGAAAAAAAGTAGAGAAACAAAAAAGGAAAGGAAGGAGTAAGAAAGGAGCTGGCCCAGCCCACCAGTCAGCCCATATACCCCTCTCCTGGCATGACCTACCATCTGTGGCTCAAGCTCAACCGCTCAACCAATCAAACATCCAGGATGCAGCACAGTCGATTCCCCTTGGCCCATTGCTCCCTCCCTCGTGGTGCCACTCGCTTAACGCTCCCTCTTGTTCTCTTGATGCGATGCTGAAGGCCGCAACTTCTCCTGCCTGCTGCTTCCCTTGCCTTTCCTCACCGTGCTGCGCCCTCAGATACATCACTATTACCACCCCCATCCAGATCGACCGTGCTGCACCAGACCAGAGCAAGTTCTGAGTTGGGCACCAGCTCCAGAACCAGCAGGGATGGCAGCAGCTGCAGGTTGCTGGCCAGCTCCCCTCCCGTTCTTCCTCTCTTCTCCCTCCCTAACTCCCTTTTGCTGATTTTTTTGTCATGAAAACTGGGACACCCAAAATCCCAGTTTTACACCAAAATTTGGGAAGGAAAACGCGGGAACTCGAAGCTTCCAGGATTGTGTCATCAAGGAATCGATTGCGTAAGGTTCAATATTAGCTGATTCAGGTGCGGTATTGGGATTGACTCTTTTTGGATGACATCAGCAGATAACGTCAATGGACTACGTACGGATGGTGTCGAGGGAAAAATATGTCGGACTCTACAAAAAGGAAAAGATTAGGGTCCAAGTTATTCTTAAGTTAGAAATGTTTTCTTTTATTTCAAGAATTGTAATAAGTCATATTTGAGTAGGATTCATGTTTAGGTTCCGGGTATAAATATTGGACCCTGGTTATTGTACAAAGAACGAACAATCAATCAATACAATTACTTTTCCAGCTTCACGTCAACCCTTAGGAGTAGGAGTGCTGTAGAAACTCGGCGAGTTCTTCAACAAGCAGGGCTGCATCGACTGATTGATCTCCGACTTGTTTGTGAGTACCGTCACGACTTGTATTATGCTTGTAAAGCTGCATTAGCTGAGTGATCTTTTATGAGCCATAATATAAGCTAGTTATCGATCTGTATCGTAGTCTGTAAGGCTGCATCAGCTAATTGATCTCTTACGAACCATAATATAGATCAAAGTTATCAATCTTGTGTTAAATAACTTGTTGTTTAATACAATATTACCAGTTACCGAATCTGCTAAGATTAGTAAGGTTTTCCCTGCTGTTTTTGGTTGATTCATCAGTTATCGATCTTGTTATAATTAATGTTTTATTAATTATAACAAATCACCTGATTGAGATAGAGATAGAATCGGTATCACATCATCTTAATTGGTCGTCTTCTAGTCTGGTCATACTTTGAATCTTATAATTGTAGACTTAACTCCGCTAGATCGGCTGTTTTATCTCTATTCCAATCAAACATAGTATGCATCCAAAGACATGTTACAATCTTGAATAAACTCACTGGTTAATGAGATCTAATCTAATGACACTACCATAGCTGTATCGATCCGGTCGAATCTCACTGGTAAGACTTTGGATTATAGATTATAGATTTGTGGTTTTGTTCATGATCGAGACATGTACTCTGTTTGTTTGCTATGCATGCATCGGCTATTTTAGCCGATTCGTCTGTGCTTTCACACATATAGCATGTTTTTCATGAACCTGTTGATATATAGATGGTTTTATAGATTCTTTGACTTTAGTTTGTTATTATTATCATAGCTGTATCGATCCGATCGAACCTCACTGTTGATGGTAACAAATTAGATTCAGAGCGTTTGTAGATTCATTTGTACTAGACAGTCGATTTGTTCACATGTTATATCTTTTCTCGTTAAATTTATCGGCTCAATGCTTTACACTGGTTACATCCATCTAGCCGATGAAGTTTCTTTATATTACTTATATTTGGGTGTATTGTACTTGTTCTGTCTGGATTAATCAATCATAATAAAATCGCTATGACCTATGTGTATCGGTTATTTTGAATTCATACCATTATTATTGATATTAGCCGATAATCTTCAATTCAGCGATCTTTGTTTTACTGATATGTTGGATATCGACTATTTAGTCGATAGCCCATCGAATCGGCTGTTTAGCCGCATATTTGGAACTGTCTAGAGCAACACCGACATGTTCCGTCTTAAACTACTGATAAGACTTTCTCTCCTTGTCAATTGCAGGTCAAATTGACTGGCACGCCGTTGGATTTTCAGAATCGACTGGTCCAGCCAAGCAGATCTCCAATCTCATTCCGTTCAGATCGTCCGGCTTGCTGTGTGTTGATCGCATCGCCACATTTTTGCGCCAACACCCAGCATGCCTCGTCACCTAGGTGACGCCTTGTAAACCATTATAGACACAACATTATTTAAGTATATAGGCTGGTTTGGAAAACTAATTAAAGAAACTGAAGTTCAAACACACACACACACACACACACAAAAGAACATTTTAGTACACCAGAAGATTTGAGATATAACTAAAGAAATCAGATTTGAAATAAAAGATAAAACTGGTGTAAGGTTACTCACCATTAAGTATATAGTTCAATCATTCTACAAAAAACTACATGAATGATTACTTTACTAATGGATAAGTGTAAATGTTCTTGTAAAGATTGGAAATAATTATTGTTCCACTGGAAAAAATGCCGTCTCCTTCAATCAAATAAGAAAGGTTTCTTATAGATATCTCCAGGTATGGACCTAACATAACTCACCATAGCACATTGCAAAACTTAAGCACCAATTATAAAAATTCAGAAATAAAAAATTCTTCTGTACCAAGGAACAAGAAAGGTACCAGGAAAAGAGAAACAGGGAAGGAATGATGAAGCTCCCTCCCTTTGATTTCATCAGGGACTATGTTCTTGCTGATGGATATATTCAAGTAGCTGTACATCAATGCCATAAACTTAGCAATCACCTGCATAATTAAAATGAAAATACAAGTGTTAGTGAAATAGCAAGCCTCTCTCAAAAACACAGGAGAGCTTAGGCCTATAAGAATCTGGTTGACCCAAAGAAGACTCACCAGTGCCTCATAGCATTCTTTAACAGCATCCAAGAATGTGAAAAATGTCTTGCTACCCTGGATATCAAGAAGACCCACAAAGGAAGAGATAGCATATAGTGGAGCCATTAGCACAATAATAAGTATAGCTTTCTGCTCCTTGGGTTTTTTCCAATAGAAGAGATGTTGTGACACCAATTGCACAGTGAAATGCATAGTCAGCATTACACAACCAGCTGCCCCAAGGAGGGTCAGAGTCGGGGCATCCATTTTACTTAGATCCATCCCCGGGAATGGAGACATGAGTGACATGGTGCCTGAAAAATATAGATTAGGTTTTTTATCAAAGGATACATTTATGCTAATGACAAGTCAAACACAGCCCTTTTTAACAGAGGAAACAAGGACATTAATACAACACAATACTGCACAAATATTTGATTGAGCCCAGGGATATCTACATCCCATTTGGAAAATGCACTTTGTGAACATCCAAAATTTCTAAAAAAAATAAATACATGCAGAACATGGACGAGTATGTTAACATAAATCATTTCTGTGGAAAAAGTACACCATACACGATCTACAAAAAACACAAGAGAAACAATTTGATTTTTTTTCACAAATATGAGACAAGTTATTTGTCTTTTTTGGAACAAGCAGTGTAGCACACATATGGCCAAAAATTTTGTACAGATTTTTGTATCTTTTTTTTTTTAAGATTTGGCAGGAGCTCTGCCTTTCAATTAAGATAGGGGATACAGATTTTTGTATCTATTTTCTTTTTCTCACAAATGTCAGAAGTGGACTTCTTTAAGAGGGCATATGTACATAGGTGACCTTGAGGTCAGCTTGGCTGCACTCCATTGAACAGGTGATCAATCAAATGTTTTGCGAGCACAATTTGAGTTTAGTTAGAGCCAGGTTTTGGCTTCAAAGTTTAACCACGTGGTCGTGGGTTCGATCCCCACGGACGGAGCCTTCGTTTTGAAGGGCAGGCCTAGTGCAGTGGTGAGAGCTGTCTCACTGAGTCACCAGGTCGTGGGTTCGAAGCAGCCTCTCCGCATATTTGCGGGGGGGACCCCACCTCGGTTTTCCCCTCCCACCCCCACTCATGTGGGAGCCTCCGGCACTGGGTCTGCCCAGCGACCAGTCTTTCTGTAACTAGATTTGTCTAATGACGACTAAGCACAAAACTAAAAGCCTGTAAATTGATTTTTAAACTAATAGAAAAGATGTAGAGATGCATTAAGAAACTCCTTTCATGGTAGCTACAAGGATACAAATGGCCAAGGTATAAATATTTAAAAAGAAATGAAAATCAGAGCTTCACTTTAGAATAGGTACAGCGTATTGTGTGACCCTAATTACTGTGACCTAATCTTGCATTCCCTCCATGGATACTAATCTTCCCAAAGAATAGCGTGACTCCTTACGAACCTGAAATCTCTTTATCATGACCACAAGTCCTAGTAGGAGCAGTAGATAAATTAGCACTACTGTTCAAATCTGATATTGGAAGCTTCTACTAGCCATGTACCTCCAACTCCAAATGTTGATGGTTTAGATTTGTCGTAAGTCAAATATTTTTAGCTTTGAGCACCAATAGCTAAAAATCTAATTAGATTTATAGCATAAGGTTGATGCTGCTAGATTTGTCATGCAAAGTAATTTCATAATATATGATTATCTCCATTTGATATAATATACTTTTATAGAAATTGCTAGTCAAAATGTAACCTTAGAGACTTGGAGACTGAAAGTAACAATGATTACTGGATTGATTAGATTGGAATCATGTACATGTACATGTATAGCCAATAGGGAGGAATCGATCGGTTTATAGAAACAGAACCAGATACGATTACCTCCCTAAACCTAATCCAATCACAACTAAGGCTGTCCGGCTGGATATAGACACACAGCCCAGGCCCAGGCCCAATAATATGCACGCCTATAATACATATGGCTAACAGAGACCATGTCAATGTACTAAATGACCTTTTTTTAATAATAAAATTTTTACAGCGGGGGTCTCCCCTGCTGTATTTACGGTAAAAAAAAGTACTAAACGACTTACATTTGGAATCAGAGGGAGTAAATACTACAACTGAAATCAGATCAGTGCTAGAAGCAGCATCATACAGGCAAAATACACAATCTGTAGGTGACTCAGCCACTTGCCTCAGGACAGATCTAACAAAGGGAGGAGAATGTGGTGTTGTTGGATTCAGCACACCAAAAGCTATTGCAAGGCAAGAGGAAGCGATGAGGAATTGATGGTAGAGTACGAGGGTGGCAAGAGAAAGAAGCAACTGTGGGAAAGAACAAACGTGCACTGGGCATGACTCTGAATAAAGGCAGCGCCATAGGATATGTGCTCTATACATTTCAAGTAATTCAGTGGTATCAATCTGAATCCTGAAAATAGTTTTTCTGTCCTCCTAGTTTGTTTACTTAACTAGAGTGTGGTAAGAACACTACTTCCTGCACAGTTGAATACTTCTGCAGGAGGCTTGGTAGAGCAACTATCTTATGCTCCTTTCTTAGGGTACATGTTCAGTTACAGTAACTGAATTCATTTTCTCAAGAGACCAAATGGCACTATGTCTCTATCGACCACCAACTAATGACTTGACACAATCCACTTAACTAAAATGGGGCTAATTAAGGCACACTATTTCATTGGTTGAAAAATAGGGAAGTTGCTGATTATGTGCAGGGTGCTGTAAGTTAAAAACTATTGTTTAGAACAAGGATCTCATTCATCAGAGAATGAAAGGAGGACTATTGGCTATGACATTTTCTAAACAGCTTTTGCGAACTGCATATCAAAATATCAGCATAAGCCTTTCATATATGCGCAAGACAGAAGACACCAAAGTCAATCAACTAATAGTATTCCACTCTTAACTGACCCACACCTCAGATTCTTCTCAGGGAGTCAAGGTATATGGAATGAGGCACTTCACCCCTGTACATGTACAAGGATATAAAAACAAAACAGACAGCGCTTTGAACACCTATAATTTGTGCAGCAAATTGACAAAATGAATTCTCCAAAGTCACTCAAGCAAGTAAGACATACAGCCATGGCTCGATGGGAAGATAATCAAGCAAGCAAGATTTCTGCACCGATACAGCGGCCTGAGCACTAGACACATGAAATAATCTAACGAAGTTGCAGACATAAGTTTTTGTTTCTTTTCTAGTAAAAAGTTCATGAGAATTCAGCCTTGGACTTCTCAACAAGTAGAATGAGATGTTACAGCTAGAAATTTACAGAATATGATAACAGTTTGAAGCAAGAATTGGGACCCATGGCCGCATGATACATGAATCCTAGCTGCAATCCTACATCAGACAACACATAAATAGAGGCCTTAGCATGCTATTGCAGCCAGTACTCAGTCGTGTCGCCACAGCGATTCCTAGAACTGTTTTGTCAAATGCATCAAGTCTGCAAGGTAAAGCAAACCAGAAGCTGATAGCAAAAGGTACAGTAGGTTTGTACTTGGAAACTCAAAGCTCACGGTTCCTCTCCTCTGCCTCTACATCCTCCTATCTCTCCCCCCAAATATATGCACGACCAAGACGGCACACACCTGCCCTGCATCAATCAACTAGCCGCCCTATGAACCGCATCTCGCGAGAGCACGGCGGCAGATGGGCCCGCTGCCCGCACCCGCGCTGGATCAAAACCCCCGGCGAGGAACCCCAGAGCGAGCAAGGCATCCAGGCCACGAAGACCACAGGTACGTGGGAGACCGGCGCGTCCACCGCCTCCTGAGGTAAGCGGGAGAGTCCTCACCTTGGCTGGAGCAGTGCAGCCTCCGCTCCTGGTCGTTGGAGTCGTCGCTGCCGCTGTCAGATTAGCTCGCCTTGCGACGCCGGGGCCGCTCGGTTCCCTACGCCAGTCCACCTGCCCGCGGTATAAAGACGAAAATCCGCGTCGACCTCGCGGGGGCTAGTCACGTGGCGGCTTAGCCTGCAGGTGGACCCTCTGATTAACTGAGGTCTGAGGCGTGCGATCTGGTTTCTGGTAGCATCCACGGCTCCGGCAGCGCCGACGCAGGGGCCCGGCGACCAGACAGGTGCGCAGGCTCGGGGTTAATGCTCCGTCGGCACATGAATCCCCGACTCCGACGAACCGCCCACGTGAAAACGACATTTCTTTTTTTTTTTTGAGGGAAACGACATTTCTTTTTTGAAGCAACGTGAAAACGACTGAGTGATAAGGAAACGTCTGCCTCGCTAGGTCATGTTCTGGAAACGGTAGCTTTTTTTTCTTGTGAATGACGCATGTGGCATGTTTCATACACGTTAGTGGACTGGAGATATGGGCCCCTTAGTGGACTTGTGAGCTGTGACTTGTTAGTGGACCGGAGATATGGGCTGAATATTTATGGGCTTCAGAAAACCGCAAAGAAAAAAGTCCGCACTACGTCCCTCAATTTTGGCGAAAGTCCTCTTTTCCTTCCTCAACTCCAAAACCGGACAAAACACATCCCTCAACTTTTAAAACTGTTCATCCTACCTCTTGACCCTGTTATAAGCAGTTTTGAAGGCGGTTTTGTTTTTTCTTTTTTATTTATTTTGACTGAATCTTTGAAAAATCATAATAAATCACAGAAAAATCATAAAATAGAAAATCCAATTTTGTTGGACTCCACATAACTAGATCTACACAGTGAACACATAATAGGGTATGTTTTAGTACAAAGTTTTTGTTGTGACTTTAGATTATGTTTTTCTATAATTAATTATAATAATTCATAGATGTAGTTTCTATGGTCTAATTGTGATAAAATGTATATGGTAGGCTATTTATTGTATGATTGAACTATAGTAAAAATTTCATACTCATTGGATCATGTATATCTTAGTTATAGATTTATTTATATTTAACAAGCATAAACCTAAATAAAATCTATAACTAAGATATACATGATCCAATGAGTATGAAATTTTTACTATAGTTTAAGCATACAATAATTAGCCCACCATAAAAAATTCACCATAATTGGACTATAGAAACTACAGCTATGAATTATTCCATTTAACTAAAAAAGTATAGATCTAAAGCTACAGCAAAAACTTTGTACTAAAGCATACCATATTATATGTTCACAATATATATCTACTCATGTGGAGTCCAACAAAATTGGATTCTCATTTTATGATTTTTCTGTGATTTACTATAATTTTTTAAAGATTCAGCCGAAATAAATAAAAAACAAAAAAACAAAACCGCCTTCAAAATCGCTTATAACCACGTCATGGAGGTAAGATAAACAGTTTTAAAAGTTGAGGCGGTGTTTTGTCCGGTTTTGGAGTTCAATGAAGAAAAACAGACTTTCGCGAAAATTAAGAAGGGTAACGTGGACTTTTTCCAATCGCAAAACCTAGAGGGGCACAGGCCGCACAGCCCAGCATGGCCCAACGAGGCTTCGCCGGTGTCTGCGCCGTCGACAAGCCGGCGCCCGGCGGCAGTGGAGCGACGACAGCGCGGATCAGGTCGGAGTTCAGTTCGGCATAGAGGACTCGTGCAGCAAGTAACCCGTCTCCTCTCCGTGCTCTATTGTTCGCCGCCTTGGCGCTATGGACTGATGCATATTTATACATTGTGCTGTGCACACCAAGTGTTTGTGTTTTGTCCTACCTACCCAGCTTGTGCAGTTGAGCTTCCTTGTTTATATATATACACTGGCTGCCCAAACAGAAAAAAGGATCTCAATTTCTCTAACTGACACAAACTTCTCATTTAGTTCACACTCCTCAGAGATCCATGGATCAGTAACCACTAACCAGCAATGCAATAGGGTCAAACGAATGAGCTTTACCTCAGAACAAAAAGACAGGGTGTCAGTTTCAGTCTGTCACCACACTATATAATATAAGATAAATACACAAGCACATACTTTATGCACATGAGTGAACAATTATTGTTCACACTCCTCATGCAAGATTTGAGGAGTGAGTGAAATTTTCAATTGGTTTTCAATTGCATGCAGTGCTCTCATTGCTATTGAAGCCCCGTTTTTGTTTTTTTGTTTTTTGGCGGCATCGCCATTGGAAACCTGCCGATCAGCATGTCTGAAACTACAATCACCACAAAGATGCTACATCAATCATGATAATTTCAGCAATTTCCTTGTTACATTTAGTCATAAAATCCTTATCAATTCCTAGAAGGTCCAAAACTATATTGTATCATTTTCTCAGTACTTACTACTAAATCATTCTCTTTATCTTTTTTCAGCACTTCATTGTATCATTTGTCACCTTCTTTTCCAGCACACTGCTTCCTGTGAACAGTTTATGTACAGAACTGCAGAAAGCTACTAGTACTTATATCTACAGCCATTGTGCTTATGGACTGAGTTGTAAGTTGCAACTCCAAGCTTAGTTTGAAGTGCTTTCCTTCTTTTTTGGGATGAGAACTGTGACATTTAACTTCACCTCAACTCATTGTTAAACCATCAGTAGGGCCCTCCAGATCAGTGCGAAAATAGGAGAAATAACTATTTTAGCATAGATACACTGGAGTACTGGACGCAGGAAGGATAATTCAACATAAAAGGACGAAGAGCTATCATTAGTGTACAATAGCAAATCAAAGATGCCAGTGTTGTAGAAGATAATACAATATAGGGCTGGCTTTTCATTGCAGCAGTTACCCAGCTAAGGATACGCCACCGTTGGCCCTCAGTCTGTTTAGATTATTGTGATGCTGTTTAGATTATTGTAATGGTAGGATGGTTCGGGTGAGCTCGAGCGATGTTTCTGAGGGTGCACTCTGCAGCTATTATTTCAGATTCTGAGCACGGGCCATGTAACATGGATACACATATCTCTTTGAGGCCTAGAAGGTGCTCCATTCCGACATGCTTGCAACCCTCATATTTAAGCAATGCCACGCTGGTTTCTGCCTCAAGTCGTCGCAAGTTGGGCATGGCTCCTACCTCAAAAATCAAGAGCTGCAGGGACATTCTCCGTTGGCACTTGAACTGAAAATTAACAAGGATTGGGAACAGAAGTCCCATGCCGCCATGTATGACGATCTTTTCTGTAGGGGCTTGTTGGATTTGAAATTGGAGGTGCATGAGTGAGGGCAGCTTCCCGAGGATACCAAGATCCTCCTCCATCGCCTCAGTTACAGAAAGCTCCAAGTAGGAGAGGTTATGGAGCTCAGCAAGCCACCTAGGAATCCTGGTGAAATACCATGCTAACAGATCAAGTTCCTCCAGACGGTGTGGAGGAGGTGCCAGTGAACTCAGAATGTCAGCATAGATTTCAGGATATCCTACCATGGATAAACGTCTCAGGTTGTAGCCACCAAGTTTTGCAAGGGATGAACACAGTGCATCCATTGATGACCTTCCAATTGCAGTGTCCAGCAAGAATTTCTGAAAACAACATATCTTCAGATTCCTCAGGTTTGTGAGCTCTCCTAGGCTGTGAATGTTCTCCAATGAGTTCTTCATCAAACCAAAGTACTTCAGAGTGCACAGGGATTTTGCGTAACCAATGCCATCAGGAAACCCATATTGTGATGATGGGACACTGAGATGCAATAGGGCTGGTAGATGAAAAACATCTGATGGAAGACTACCAAAAAATCCGCAACGCATTTCCAGTGTCTCCAGATGGCATAACCCTTGGATCTCCGTGGGTAACTTAACACGACTGCTCCTTGCCTCTACCTTCAAATATCTCAACAGAACTAGCTGACTTATGCCTGTCAGGTCGATGCCTTCTTCCTCACGCCGGTGCTTGCCATTGAACTCCCCGAGCTCAAGGACAAGAACTCGGAGAAATTTTGACTCTGGCAAAAGATGTGCACACGCAGGCATACAAGTAGTGTTACCAAACAAGGCAAGAGATCGAATTTGCGGTTGGCTTCCAATAACCTTAACAGCTGAAACTGAGACACCTTCTGCACCAATCAGGTTGAGGGAGAGTCGACGGATCTTGCTGTTATGTGGCTCTCTCATGCCCTGAGAATGGTATACCACAGTGATAAAATTGTCCTCTGTGCATTTGCTAAGGATCAAATCGAGCATCATATCATGCACTCGACAAGACAATACCTCTCCATTATAGTCAGTCTCTTCAGGTTGAATCATGCTTCTGTTTACAAGCTCATTGAAGTAATTCTTCGCCAAATCCTCTGCATCTTGCCTACCAGAATTACTCACAAGACCTTCTGCGACCCATTGTCGAACCAAATCATCCCTTTGAATTATGTAGTCCTCTGGATATATACCTAGATACAGGAAACATGTCTTGAGTTGATGAGGAAGATTCTTGTAACTGAGGCTTAAAATTTGTCTCATCGCTGCCAACGTGAGGTCTGTCCCATACTCAGAGCCTAGTGAATTTTTTATCTTCTCCCAGTCTTCCTTTTCACTAGTTGGTAGATTGGCTAATAGACTTGCAACTGTAATTATTGCAAGCGGCAGACCGCCGCATTTCTTCAAAATTACAGCTGAAACCTCCTTGAGTTGTGAAGGACAATCACGATTGGGGCTGAATGTTCTGCTAAACAGTAATCTTCTTGAGTCATGGTCATTGAGGGGTTTCAATCTGTACAAGCATTCCTGGTGAGTGCAGCAGATCCTGGCAACACTCTCAATCCGTGTGGTTACAATAAATCTGCTTCTGAGATTATTTTCTGGAAAGGCACATTTGATAGTATCCCATGATATTGTATCCCACAAATCATCAATTACTACTAAGTACCTGTGAAATTTTTTGAACAGACCATGTGTTGATTAGGGTAGTTGCAGTTTTCCATATGAAAGAATACTCACTTCAGAAGATAAGCATTTAAGGAAACACTATTGAATTCGAACCAACTCCATGAATATTAGGAGTATGACTACAGGACCACTCGATTAAGGAAACGGATGTTTACGGGACAATTGGTAGGCAGAAGAACAAAATTCTTATACTTGTTGAGAAAGAACAACAAATATATCTTCATCATGCATTTATGAAGAGTCTATGACGAATTAGTTATGTTGTCCCACACAGTGAGAACGTGTGCATAGCATAGTGGTAGGGATGCTGAAGTGTGACCTATAGGTCAGGAGTTCGACCCTGTTTGCTGTGCTATTTTCCCATGTTACATGGCCCACTGATAGTTGCAGTGTGATCCTCACCATGGTTGGCATGTCCTAGATAGCTTTTTCTCGACCCAGCAGAAGAGAATCTTCTATCTTTCCGTGAATGTTTTGGGAGAGGCTTTCCCCCAATGGTCAAGGTTTTTTTTTTTTTTTTTGAAATTCACTTGTTAAGGTCGAACTGGTAGCGCAAGATCAAGATATCATTACATTCTTTACATTCTGTTAAAGAAATAGAGAATAATATAGAAGTACCTCTTGTGTTGTAGGTATTCTCTAACATCGTCAATGAGTTCTTCGACATCGCAAGGGCAAGAAGACTCTTGCTGACCAAGTTTTGATCTTATGCTGTTGAGAAGCCTTGGCATGTCAGGTCTCTGGGAAACTGAAACAAACGCATGATAGTCAAATTGGCCCTTAACCTTACGATAAACCTCATTTGCAAGTGTTGTCTTTCCTAAGCCTCCAAATCCTACTATAGCCACCCCTTTCAGCTGTTTCTTTTCGTCCATTACCCATCTGAAGAGGTCATCCCTGGGACCATCAACACCCACAAGATTGGCTGCCTCCTTGTAGAGCGCCGGCAATCGAGGATCAATAGCCGTAGAATGAGAACTAGAGATGCAATCTTCAAGCCTGTACCTCTTACGCCGTTCATCGATATCTTGTAGGCGAGTCTTGAGCTTCTTGATCTGTCTGGCAGCCTCAAGGCGGACCCTCAACGCACCGATGAAGTGAGAAATCCTCTCGGTGAACCCAGCCTTGGCATCGGCGCTGCCAACCCGGAGAGCAAAAGCGTCAAGACAATCCTCGATGTCGTACCGCAGCTCCCTGACTTGGTTGCTCCAATCCTTCACCTGTGGGTCGAGCTCATCTTCACTGTCCAGCTTCTTGAGGAGAGCGTTTATGGTGCAGAGCTCATCTCGGAGAAAGGCCGTGTCGCTTGACAAGTCTATGAGGTTGCTGGACTTGGCCCCCATCAGCTGTGCGAGCTTTGCAAGAACGGACTCCATCGCTCTCGCTCACTGCCTCGCCCCCTTTGATGCACTTTCTGTGACGCAAATTGGGAGTTCCCGCATGAGAATCGAACAGTTTTTGAAGTAGGTATCTGAAAGTTAAGAAGAACAGCACATTTCTGCTTCTGCAGTCACCCTATCTCCTCTGGTTTACTCATATATACTTGGCCCTGGATGTCACGCGTATTACTATCTTCTTGTCTCTTTTGTTTTCCATGCCGTAACGGCATGGAGTGTAGGTGTTTTCAACTCAGGAGTGTAGCGTATCAACACACCGCCCCCATTTGCACGCCACGATTGGCGGCCAAAAAAACAGTTTTTATGCCGCAATTTACACGCCACGACTGGCGGTCAAAAACACCTTTTTTTATGCCGCAACTTGCATGTAATTGACTGCCCGGTTGATGCTGCTATCATGCACGTAATAAAATGCAAAGGTGTGCGACATATATAATATAGAGTAAAGTACATGGCCCGTCCTTAAATTCGTGGAGATGTGTCATCCTGAGCAGGAATCACGCTCGCTGATTAAAGACATTTATTCAGCCAATAATAATGTGCTGAGAGTGAGAGGAATATATCACAACCAAAGTGGAGAGTTGTACACGTAGCGCAGGAACACGTAGCACCGTGTCAAACTGTCAATAATAAAAGACCAATGAAACGAGTAACTAAAACTGCATTCAAGGGTAGGGTCCGTTCATGCATGCACGACCTACCTTAGTATTAGTATTAGTTATGGACAAGACATGTTACGCTTAGGGCCGTTTGGTTCCCAGGGCTAATTTTTCTAGTTCCTGTCACCTCGAATGTTTGACGTAAATTGGGAGTTCTCGATCACTGCCTCACCCCCTTTTGATGCACTTTCTGACGCAAATTGGGAGTTCCTGCATGAGAATCTATGCAATTAATTTTATAATTAGCTCATGTTTAATCCTCCTACTTAGTATCAGAATGTCTGATGTGACATGGACTAGACTTTAGTCGCAGGATCAAACACCCCTTAACAAAGAGAGAGGGCTTGACACCAATTAAAAAGACACAGTAAGGGTCAACAGTAGCGATCACACATCACGCATGGTAGTTGGAGTGCCTGAGATATGACCTAGCTAGGAGCCGGCATGCGCGCTCTTGTCATGTCAAGATGGAGATACAGTCGAGAGTTGGTGATGAGCCTACCAAGCAAACATGTGGGAATGCATATCGTTAACAACCCAATAGAACTATTAAAAAAAATAGAACTATTCAAAAAAAAACCAATAGAACAAGCTGGTCACGGCGCGCGCATGCAGCAGCGCCAGTAGCAGGACTGTTAATGTAAGGCGGAGAAGAGCCTTATCCAGCACCAGCAGCATTGCGTGTTTGCATTGGCGTAGCTTGGTCGTCCGCAGGAGGCCGACGCGATGAGACGACGGACCGGGCCGAGCCGCCGATTGATAGGCATGACATCATAGCCCGATAGGCCGGTTGCCGCTCAGTATCCGGATCCCATGCGTCGCTCGGCGGCTGGGCTGCGCTGCGCATGCGCATGCGCTCGGCCAGTCCGCCGCCGTGCCGAGAGCCCGAGAGGGGGGTTGAATTGGGCCCGTGTGACGTCCAATCGGCAACGCAGGGCCATCCCATCTGCCTAGCTTGACGAGGATTGTACGATCACCGATGGACGTGATCGATCGGCAGCAACACTACTATCTAGGAGCAGTGTCTAGTCAAGTTAGGCCTAGCTTAAATTTTGGATGTAAAATTTTAGAGTGTCACATGAGGGTGTTTGTATAGGGTGTTCGATATTAATAAAAAATAAATTATGGAATCCGTCAGTAATCCGCGAGACGAATTTATTAAGTCTAATTAATCCATCATTGGTACATGTGTATACTGTAGCACCATATTATTAAATCATGGACTAATTAGGTCTAAAAGATTCGTCTCGCAAATTAGTCGCAAACTGTACAATTAGTTATTTTTTTAATCTATATTTAATACTCTATAAATATGTCAAATATTAAATATGGGCCCGAGTAGTTTTTTAATCTATATTTTGGCTTTTTTTTTATACTCTAAAATTTCATGTCTTGAAACCAATTCTTAAAAAAACAAACGTTAGGGCCTGAAAAATAAAAGAAACTAAACAAGGCCTTAATCTTGTCCTGCAAACCAAATGGTTAGCTGATGGAAGCCACGCATTTGTCGGGCCATGATATCGAGTAGGCCCGTAAAGGCTGTCTTTAAACTCGACTTTTTATCCGCTTATTTTTTTATCCGGAACAGTGTTTTTCTCTTACAAATTTTTCTAACATTTCTCCAAACCATCCAAATTCCTCTAGAATTCAAACAAACGTACAGACCCTAAATTCTAGATAAAGAAACTAAACAAGGCCTTAATCTTGTCCTGCATGCGCACGCCATGGTAGTGGTAGCTGATGGAGCAGCCACGCATTTGTCGTGGAGACTACGCGGCAGGTCGCTCGATCGCTAGCGCCCAAAAATGTAAGGCCCCGGCGGCGGCTGGCCTAACCAATCGACCAGCCAAATAAAAAGCGTAACTAATCAAGGCATGTGTATATCTAGAATTATATTAGTTTATTATACGTATTTTGTCACGTTCATAGACCTAGGGTCTTCAATGAACTCGCTTCCTTCAAAAACCAAACCCAAAGAAACGCAGACGGCACAATGACGAAATCACGCTGGGGCTCGCTCAGATATATAATGACAGGTCAAGACAACGATCCGGTCCTCGACCGGAAGGCCTGGCCAAGGTGGGACCGTAGTCTGACTCCGACCCCCTTCTCCAACCGAGGATACGTCGGACCTCTGCTCGTTGCTCTTTCCTGACCAACATGGTCGGGGACCTGACACGAACGGGCTGCTCCTGGGCCGATGCCCAGCTGCTGCGGCGGGTCCGGGGGCGCCGGCGTGTGGGCGGATAAGGTGAGGTGTTCAAGTCAACCGCAATATCGAGGGGCATGGTGCTCTGCCATGCCATGCCTTGCGCACTTTGTTGCAGGCGGCGGTGCCATCGGGCATGTCGAGCAAACACGGTGAGCCCAGAGAGAGAAAAGCAGGGAGAGTATAAACATTATTGTGAACGCCGGTCGCTTATTTTGCTCATTGCAATTAGCTTTGTATTTACACAACACGAACATGGTAGAGCCTACCAGATGTGTCTCAACATAAATAGTATTATAAGGGTCGACGGTCATCCCATACCCACGGCGGTGTGGGCAACAAGACTAGGCAAAGACACGTATACACTCTCTCTCTTTTTTTTCCTTGTAAGGCCATCCCTTAAACTATAAAAGGATGAGCTCTCTCTTAAAAGCCCCCTCAAGATGGGCGACTCGATCGTCTCAATACTCAATAGCTCTAGGACTCGACATTATACACTGCAGGTTATTGTCTACACATAGTTTTCAGTGACCGATAAGCTCTCCGACACGGAGAGCATATGTTTCAATACTTAGCGTACGTTTGAGCATCCGTCACTCTCTTCCACTCGGTTCAGAGTCCGACCGGGCATTTAACACCTTCTTTCTCATTCCTTACTCGTTTGTAACCCCACAGCAAACTTCGAGCACCTGAGCTTACGAATAAAGTCACCGATCGACCTCAACTAGACGTAGGGCCTGTTGCCTGAACCAGTATAAATCATGTGTCATTGAGTGTTAGGCCACATCCGATCATAACGTACAACAAAACTATAAATATTTACTTGTTGGTCACTTTTCGCACCGACATATTTAGATATCTAGATTTATACGGAGTATTAGGTTACAATAGCGGCAGTACTCCCTCATTCAAAAAAATAGTAGACTAAGTTTTATAAAAGAAAAATAATTATTCGGCTGATGATTTCTACCGCTGATTAGTCGTTTTATTACAGAGAAAAACACATAAGTTCAAACGAAGAGAGCTCACAGCGACGAAGCTGCGGCCTTCTCTGTGCAGTTGCATGCTCGCTCGCTCGCTACGTTGTGTTTTTCCTTACTGCTGTGGCAGCGTACGGTACAAATCGACATCATTTGTCGTACTACTACGTTCTACTGCATCATCGTTATTTATTATTCCCTGCAGGGTACCTAGTACCGCTACCGCCTGATGAGTCAAGCATTGCTGCTTCATCACGCTCATCAGTGGCGCGCCTGACACGACACGGGCTGCTGACCTGGCGCCGACTCGCAACAGGTAGATGCTGCTGCCCCGGCCGCGCCAGTCCGCGTGGGCGCCGGTGCCTGCCGGCGGATTCGCTTGTCTTTGCTCGCGCGGTCCATTACGATTCCGAGGAATCGATCCAAGTCCCCTTGGTGCTCTGCTCACACGGACCACGCCCCGGCCGATCGATCTTTGTTGCTGTGCGGCTGTGCCTGGCGATGGCACCCTGTGCTTCGAGGACTCGAAGAGAGAGAGAGAGAGAGACAAGCAGGGAGCGACGTTAGGAAGCGGCAGTGGATTGGGTCGGATCGGTTTGGGCCTGCGGTCACAACCACACTGCTATTTTGCTCAAACTGCTGCCGGAATTAGCTTTGTATTCTCTCCCTTCACTCAAATTCTCAACACGAACCATGTACTGTGCAGTTTAAATCACGCATCATCATCATCATCTCCTCAATCTTATATTTATGTGTAAAAAAGCAGCATTACCTCCATCCACAAGATCATAATCATACACGGTATGATGAAAGTGAGATGTTCGCCTCCAACAGCGGTTGAGTTGTATTAAATGTCCATATTATTATATATACACACGTCCTTTTCTTGGTCCTAATAAAAAACTTGTCCTTACTTGTAAAAAAACAAAAACTTGTCCTTGAGGCGGACGGTTGCGAAATGCATGCATGCCAACTCTGCAAAATCTGTTGGGCATGGGCATGGGCATCAGCATCGTCTCCAGAGCTATTCTCTGTGCCTCCAACGTCTCTAACTCCAGTTGGATTCGTGTACATTATTATTATCTGCAGGTTATTGTGCATGCATATAGTATTTCGGTGAAGTTTCGCCAAAAATGTAATACCAGCTGTCTCCGTCACAAGGAAACCATAATCATTAATTAGAAGTTGGCTAGAGCCTAGAGCTTAAAGTCAGCTAATAGATCATATACAATCCAAAGGTGACAAGGAAATATGGACGACGAAAACCCCCACTTTTCAGAAGGTTCTGTTTGGTTGTCGGAAAACTATACAGTAGGACAATCTACAAGTATATGTACGTACTATTTATATGGACGCAATTTCCGACGAAATAAACATGCTGAGTGAGAGCTTGGAGTTTTGTGGATTACTTTATTGCGTCGTCGTAGCTAAAAGAATTTTGTGACGTGGCGATCCCAAATGCAGAATCAACCTCGACATGGTCGATCCGATTCGCAACATGGATCTTACTGGTACGACAAAGGGATTTGAATGCGGAGGCCGGAGGCTGGCTCCTTCGCATAATGCAACGTAAAATATATATATATATATATATATATAAAGAGCCAGAAGATCCTTACATTCGCCTCCGTCTTACCTCTGCCCTTTTGTGTTATCCTACCATCTATTATCTTTGTTTTTTTCTTTTGAGATTAACAAACTCGTCACTGAAAGGACAACGTCAAACCTCTAGCAAATCGTTTATATTCAATCTGTTGATGGATTGGACGGCAACATGCCAAGTAACATGAACCTACTTCGTACATAATATTGATCAGAATCTCAAGACTTGAGAAGAACATGGGTAGTTTCGTTGTCTGATTACTTCACGTTGATTTGCTCTGTCGAAATGATAGCTCACCTTATATCATCTCTCTCTTCTCGAGTTTCTGAACGTGAAACATACACCCAAGCATGTACAGTATGTAATGTAACTTCTATATACATGCAATTTGAATCTGACTATCTTTATATATGTAATAATAATGGATTCATTATAGGTCTGTACCACACTACCACTACCGAGACGTGTTATTCAGAGAATCATTTGATGTGTTAGTTGATTCATTGTTTGTTTCGCTCGATTTTATCCAGGAGAGCAAGCGATGTCGTGCCATGTTATTGATGGTTATCCATTTTACGCAACAATGACGTTTGCCACGAGGGAACCTATGTAGTGTACATATCAGAAGATTTATTTGGCAATTTCGTGATGCGTGTTGATCGTGCTCTTGTCTTGTATGGGGTATAGCACAAAATGTCATATCTATACGATGAGGTGAAATTTTATTCGAATGCTCGTGGCAATAGCCCCGATATGCATGGAATTCAGGGGAAGCCTGTAAAAAATACATTGGACACCTTCTTCCAACCTTCGAATTAATACAGTATTGTACACGCTCCACGTGCCTTAAATACTTCTGACGATAAAGTGACCCGACCATTCATATATTATTATTATTATTGTTTCTATTTTCACTCTAGGAGGACTAGTTATTAGCTCTAAAACAATCTCTTCAATAATATTAACTTTAAGCACAAAGCTCATAATATAAATAGCTCTATATGACAACCTCACATGATTTTAGAGTGTGTGCATAATACCAAATAAGTATGATTACATTCTTCATTAATTATATTTTCAAAGAATACTTATTTGATGTCATAAAATCTTTATAATTGTCTCTATAATTTTGGTCAAACTTGAGATGCTTTAACTCTTAAAAAAATTGTAATTAAATGACTTATAATTTGGGATGAAGGGAGTAGTATCTGCGCCTACCTAGTATAATTTGGTAGTACCTCTTATAACTTTGGATATAGAGATTTCTGATATGTACAAGGATTGTAAAAGTAGTCTACTGAATTCTTGGTGTAATTTACATTTATGTTAAAAAAATACTCTCTCTATTCTAAATTATAGTTCTTTCTCGGGCTTTTTAGATTATTATTTTTGCTATACACCTAATATAGATTATATCTAAATATATATAATAAAAGCTATGTATTTTAAAAAGTAAGAACGACGTATAATTTGAAATTGAGGAAATAGATTAATTGGCACCAATATTTTTGAAGCCATAAGCTTTAAAAATCATTAATAATAATCCGATGCATGGCAAGCTTATAATTCAATAGTGGCATTTGATAAATAAAGATAGCATACAGGGTCGAAAGTTAAAAGAAAAGCATCGCAGGAGGGTTGGTCCGTCCTAGCTTTGACGGTAGAGTTTCATCGCTTTTATTGGCCTTTAAGGTGCTCTTGCCCATTTCCTTTCACTCAATTCAATCGCTTATATCATCATATAAGACCGGAGAGCTGGTTAGAGATATTTTAGTTCTATCTTTCTTTCATGTTGTTGATTTATATTTTAGTTTTATTTTCTACTTTCTCCGTCCCAGAATAATATATAAGAGTATTTTAATCAGACAATAATCACACAAAATATATTTTGACTCTTAATTTCTCCTACAATATATTATTTTTTGCTCAAGAATCAATATATATCATCTTAGATACACTTTGAATACAAATCTATTGATACAATTTTTATGTCCTGAGCTTGAGTATAATTTGAGTCATTGTTAGCCAAAGTTTATAAGATTTGACTTTCTACTACACAAAATAGGTTTATCATTCCAATGCAAGATGGAGAGTAGTAAATAACAAGATGGCTGAAAGAAACTATTGTGTTCAATCTAATTAACATCGCAAATTGATAGTGAGAGACACGGCATAATCGCATATATATATAAGGTAATTTCAGTACCTCACACGAAACCTCAAAAATGCTGAAGAGGCTAATCGATGGTTGGCAGCCAATTCACGTCAAGACTTATTTGTCATGGATTAGCTAGCTAGGATGATTAGAAGGAGGATCAGAAATTAATAAAGATGGGTCGATTTAAACCAGTAGTACATCTCTGATTGTCTCCTTATTTATTACAAAAGAAAAGATGAGGAAAACGACACGTTGGATTGTGACCTTACACTTTTTGACACCATCTCTGATCTCTCCCCTCCACAATCCCAAAATTTTAAATTTCTCCTCCTGCAAGGCGCTCTCATAGCCCCCACCACAAGATGCATGCCAACCTGATGACTCCGACATCAGCACTCGTCGGTTTTCTGTCATGTATAGTATTGGTCACACTAATTTCGCACAAGCATCTCTCTTTTTTTTTTGTATTTATTAGTATTGGGGTGTCCTGTTGCGAACAAATTTATGTCGCTGCCCGTGCGTAGATTGGTTGCGTGACAGTGACTACACGTCTGACACTAAGTCACTAATCACCTTCTTTGCTTGTAGAAGACAGCGGGAGATCACCTGTTTGCGAATATTTGCCTCAGCCACGTACTGCTGTGCAATGCAAGACGGCGTGTCGCCCTCGCTGTACAGCCGGCTACACTTGCCCATCGTCGGCGTAGCCATCCTTCCTGACTCACCTGTTTGCAAGGATAGTAGTGTCCAAAGTTGAGGACCTGATGATTTTTCATGTATGTACTCATATGGCATTTGTTGTAGCTAGCAACATGCATGTTTATTCTCGGTTTCACGGTACAAATGAAAAGTCGATCACCTACCAAATCCTATGCTCTGTTCGCTGGGCTGATAAGCCATGGATGAAAGTACTGTTGGCTGATTTATTGTGAGAGAAAAATATTATTCGTTGGTTGAAAAAGTACGGCTTATAAACCAAGCGAACAAGGCTCTTAGGTCTGGACGCGGGATCCTCAAAAGCAGGAGTGGAAAAGGCTCGTGATTAGATTTGCATGTAATTTGCAATCCTGATCAATTCAAAATGCAGGAAAGTTTCCATTGTTTGGCCTTTGGATGCCATATAGGAAAAATACAGAATTCTAAGATAGGACAGACACAGAGTAAAGTTTATATAAGATCCAACCTCATGCTAGTTTTCTTTCAAAATTCCTATGGTTTCATACATCTAATAGTAACCAAAAGGACCTTCATAGGGTTTAATCCTCTGTGCCAAAGAGACATATAGGAAACTTTACTATAGAATTTACGGTCTGCCTCCAAGGTCACACACACACATCCCGACCTTGGATTGGTGGATAGCAAGTAGGAAGAGGATTAATAAGAGCACCTGCAAGGCCTTCGCTGAGCAGTGTTGATGCCCTATTTGGTTCGCTGAAAAGCCAGGCTGAAAAATATTGTTCGTTGATTTGTTATGAGAGATAAACACTGTACCATGCCTGATAAGTCATGCTGATAAGTTTAAACGAACAGATTTGGAAGGAGCGGAATTACTGGATGTTTGACAACTCAGGAAACACGGTGACCATGCCGGTGCTCAAGATAAGACAAGAAACTCCTACCTGGATCCGTTGCGGGTTTTTTTTTTACAGTTTTGACGGATAGCCCTTATTTTAGTTTTAGCCTTGGAACATTACAATTTTAGAATAATTTGACAGTTTTTTTTAAAAAAAAGTTTTGCCAAAAAATTTATGGAACACTATAGCTGGTGTAGGAGCTAGTAACCCTATTTGGACATGAACACTTGAACCTTTGGTTTTTCTCCATGGACTTAAATGATACAAAGAAAAAACCAATAACTCCACCATGAAAGTATCATGTGCCCATCCTGTCGATGTAGGTACAGAATGCACCAAAAAGCCTCTCCTGGATATTGTTTCTCTAAAATATTCCGAAGATACTTATGCAGAGTAACACGTCTGGTCTGCACGCCATATCGGACGTCTCCTATATATTATTTTATTTTTTTTCTTCCCAGAAATATATATCGAGAAAGAAGAAGAAACCAAACGACGTTATGGTCACCGTGCAAATGCAAACTCAGCACACTCGTCTGCGCGCGCGCACACACACACACATACGGGCCGGCGCCGTGTGCGTCGGCGTCGCGGCGACCACGAAGCCTCCATTCCTGATTCTGAAACGCCCACGGCTTCCACCCTGTCTGTCTGCCTGTCTGTCCGAGCTGACTGACGGTTTTAAAAGGGCCCGTGTGCGGTGTAATTCTTGGGTCGGGACGGGAGCAACCGCAGTGGAGACATGGGCATGGCCCCTTGCATAGGGGTTGGGGTTGGGCCGCGCCGCGCCGAGGAGGAGGAGGAGCGGGAGGCGGTGACGGACGGGACAGAAGGCGCGGGTCTTGCTGGGCGGCCGCCTGGTTCCCGGGTCTTGTTGGGCGGGCGCGGGCGCGGGCCATCCATCATCGCCTTCCGCGTGGTTCTTTTGGCTGCCTCCGTCGTCCCCACCGCGGGTCGTGGGGTTGAGGTGAAGGTGAGGAGAGCTTTCCTTCCGTTTCATGGAGGACTAATCCTACTCCGCGCTCTCTTCGGTTTCTCTTCTCGCGGACTCTGCTCTGTTCGCTCTTCTTTTCTCGGCGATTTGCTCTGTATCCGACTCCGCCGTGTGGTTTCTTGGTGATTTCTGCTTTCTTTCTTGAGGACCCCAAGTGAAGTAATTCTGCTTCTTCTCTCGGTTCCGATCGACGGGTACGGTTTGTGCGATTGGGGCGCACACATGAACATGAGGATTGGTGTGCGATTGAGGCTCCGTTCGGCTTACCTCGTAATCTGTACTACTATTCAGCTTCAGGTTGTTTTTTATTTTCCACTCGCAGCAATTCAATTAGAACGGATTTTTCAGCCAATTTAGCCAAGTTTTAGCAAGAGGCCTGAATTGGGGCGTTTAAGTTTTGAGATAAAATTGTTAAAGGCGTTTTCTTCTTCTTTTCCCCGAGCCGATAACTCGATAAGCATTGGATTAGTTTGTGTTCTTTTTTTATTTAGATTAGTTTGTGTTCTTGAAGGTCCTGCTTCGAATCTCGTGGGATGGGATACTAAGTGTTGGGTATGTGTGACTCAACCTTGTCTCTTTTGGTTTCAGTGAAGATCGTCAACTTCAACTCTTCCGGCGCTGGCAGGGAGGAAAGTAGAGAGGTCACGCAAGGATCGGCATTGGGCCGCGTAGGCGCCTCCTCCGGGGATGGACCGTCGGAGTTGGCTGTGGCGGCGCAAGTCGACAGACAAGAGCCCCGCGGAGACCGAGACCTCGGCGTCCTCTGCATCCGAGAGGATCACTGATGAACAGGTGCACAGTTTTTCTCCTCGCCCTTCTTCTCACCCTAAGCCTCACACAACTGATGTGTAAAAAAAAATTAATAGAGCTATGCAGAAACGTTCATCATCCATCTAGCCATGCTCTGAACTCTGCATTTCGCTCAGTTTTAGAGGGAAGCGTTGTGAAAATCATTTCTCCGTGTGTCTGGCGCGTCTAGTCAGATACTGACGAATTCAGTTCAGGGAGGAGAGAGGTGTAAATCAGACAACAGTAGCAGTCTTAGCATTGAAGAATAATAATCCCCAGTGTAGGAGTGAACCACAAGCAAGCATTGCAGTGCAGTGCAGGGCGTTCATTTGACTTTCCCAGTCCTGCTACTGCAGTCCTTCAGTTAACAGGTCATGCAGCATGTGCAGTGCATGTGAGGTTTCATTTCATCCAGTGCCAGATCTGCTGGGCCTTGGGCTGTGTTTAGCAGTTTTGCCAGATTTAAATATGCTGGGCCTCTGTAGCCCCAAACTGCTAATCTATTATTTAATGCTTACGTCACCATTCACCAAGTTTTTGAAAGTTTGGGTGGAACTAAACAAGAGCAAGTTGCAACACACAAAAGTCTCCAAAAATCCAAAGCTGCAGTAGCGCTAGACTGGGATTTCCGACTGACGGGACAAATTCCTTGCTGTTCCGGGCCCTAAATTCGGATGCTGTGGCAGTATAGGGACCCCTGTACTGTATACCTTCAGATGTTTCAGCAATTATATATATATAGGCTTAACTTCTTGCCTGCCAAAAACAGGATCGCTGCGCGAAATACGGCGTTAGACGTAGACCTCCTAACAGCAAAGCAATCATTTGGCAAAGGCACACCGACCGTACTCATCATCTACATGCCCACATGGCATTTAGGGCCAGCAAGATTCAGTTTCTCATCCGTCCCTCCAGCATGCATTGCTGTGGTGGGCAGCAAAGCTACAATGCTGACCAGATCCCTCTGTGGCTCTGTTCATGATTATGTGAGAATTCCATCATCCATTAAGCCACTGATAAGGGTTGTGGGGGTAGAGGACGAGACCAGCAGTGCTGCCTGTTGGTTTGGTTTCCATATCCATGCCAAGGTAGGCTCGGCAGGGCAAGCCCTACCTGGCCTGGCCATGGACAATGAGGAATTGAGGATGTGGGTGTTGGTTGGGACTCGCTTTTCCTCTGACAACATCTTGGTTGTCCGTTCGTCCGATTCTTCCATGTGCTGCAGCTGCACTGCTACATGCCCGTGGTACACAAACCCAAGTGGCTCATCCTGTTGCTGCTGCGTGCTGGCTCACAGCAAACAAGATGCCCCTCTCTCGCTCTTCCAGCTCTGGTCCTGTGCTGGGCGGTGCATGACCAAGTACCTGGCGCCACTGCTCCTCATCTTTGACCGGAGCTGGCCTTCTCTCTCTGCAGTCTCCAATGGTAATATGGTACTGCGAGTCCTGCTGTTTAGAAGTTCAGCCATGTTCGCTGGTTATTTTTTAGGCTGATAAGTTTGATTGGTGCTGGTTTATTGTGAGAGAAAAACACTATTGCCTATAAGCCCTGGTCGAAACCAACAAACGAACAGGCTGATTATTGCTTTCCTCTTATGTGATGTTTAAATCAAGGGCTAAAGTTTAGGGGTGTCATATGGAGGTGTTATATAGGAGTGTTCGGACAGTAATAATAAAACAAATCGTAAAAGTCCTCAGGAATCCACTAGACGAATTTATTATGCCTAATTAATTCAGCATTAGCATATGTTTACTCTAGCTTACTGTAGCACCACATTGTCAAATCATTAGACTTAAAAAGTTTATCTCACAAAGTAATCATAATTTATGTAATTAATTATTTTTTAATTTTTATTTAATACTTTATAGATGTGTTCAGAAGAAGGAACTAAACAAGCCCTTAATGAAAATCGGGTGGGGCTCTTCTCCCGTCGTGTTTTTTTTAGAAGTTATTCCCAGAGTAATTGGGATTTATGGAGTTGTGCTTGTGCTGAAAGCTGCGACTGACAGCCTTTAGCCTGTACAGTAGCAGGCCAACGTGGCCCCGCGAAAGTACCATGCCGTGCATTTCGATGTGACGGTGTTTGTGCCCTGACAGCAATATATTCTCGCAAAAATTTCTAGTACTTCCGGTGGACGATCCCAATTGCATTTACTGAAACTTCAAATCTTTCAACCATCTCACTGTTGTGTAATAGTATTTCAAATCTTATGAAAACAAATTCATAGTAGTGACCGAAGTTTGAGATGGGTCGCCTTCTTTTCTCTACTAGTTGCTGCAAAATAAGCAAGTTAATGTGCAGGATATTTATTATTTCAAAAAAAAATGTGCAGGATATTTGACGGTTTTGGTTTCTTGATCAGGATACTGCCAAGAGCTCTCCAAATTCGACTCAGTCGCCGGAGATCACATCGAAGGAATTGGAGGACGATAACAATGTCAAGGTGAAGGTATTGAGTGAGAGGCTATCATCTGTAGTTCTGAATATCCGTGCGAAGGATGATCTCGTGAAGCAGCATTCCAAAGTTGCAGAGGAGGCTGTTCTAGGTACGGTCCCTTTGATATAACAGTGAATCAGGGATTTGCAGTTTCTGAACATAAAAGTTCAGACAAATCTTAACTGTGATTCCTTTGTACTAGGATGGGAGAAGGCCGAGAAGGAGATCGCGTCACTGAAGGCGCAGCTGAACGCTGCAACGGCCAAGAACTCCTCACTGGAGGACCGGCTCGTCCACCTGGACGGCGCCCTCAAGGAATGCGTCCTGCAGCTCCGGCGCGCCAAGGACGATCAGGACCAGACGGTGCAGGACGCGCTAGCACAGCAAGCGCGGCATTGGGAGTCCCACAAGGCCGACCTCGAGCTGCGCATCGTCGAGCTCACGGCGAGGCTGGAGGCCAAGTCCGAGCGCTCGGTGGCCGCCACCGACAGCGACACCGGTTCCAGGCTAGCCGCCGTAGAAAGGGAGAACTCGGCGCTGAAGGTGCAGCTGCTCGCCAAGACGGAGGAGCTGGAGCTCAGGACGATCGAGAAGGAGCTCAACCGGCGGGCTGCGGAGACGGCGAGCAAGCAGCAGCTGGAGGGCATCAAGAAGGTGGCCAAGCTCCAAGCTGAGTGCAGGAGGCTGCAGGCCGCGGCACGGAGGCCCTCCGTGAACGTCGAGCTCAGGCGTTCTCCGAGCTCGGCCGGCGCCGAGTCGGTCACGAACTGCCAGTCCGACTGCTCCGACTCATGGGCCTCGGCCCTTATCACCGAGCTCGACCAGTTCAGGAACGACAAGAGCGGCGCGAGCACCAGGACCGGGAGCCTCGCGACCGCGGACATCGGCGTCATGGACGACTTCCTCGAGATGGAGAAGCTCGCCTCCGCGAACGGCTCGTCGAAAGGCGACGCCATCGAGGACGCGAGCGGGCAGCTGGCGAAGCTCGAGGAGAAGGTCAGGAAGCTGGCAGCAGAGAAGGCCGAGAGGGAGAAGGCCCTGCACGAGGCTCAGCGAGAGCGGAGGACTAGCCGCCACCGGGTAACGGTGGCAGAGGAGAAATCAGCCGAGCTACAGCGGCAGCTGAACCTTGCCAATGGCGAGAAACACGCCATGGAGGCCGAGGTGGAAGCTGCTGAGGCGAAGAGGGGAGAGCTTGAGGGCAAGCTCGAGCTCGCCCGTGCCGAGATCGCGGGCTTGCTGGACAAGGGACGCATCCTGGAGGAACGGCTCGAGTGTGAGAAGGCGCTGACACTTGAGCTCGCAGCCAAGTACCAGGACATGGAGGCGCTGGAGGCAGAGAAGAGGGAATTGAGTTCTCAGCTGGAGACGTCACGGTCCGAAGCCAAGAAGCTCAGCGACAAGATCACCCTGATGGAGAGGAAACTGGAGGTGGAGAAGGCCTTGTCGATCCGTCTGGCGACGAAATGCCATGGCATTGATGCTCTGGAAGCAAAGAAGAAGAGCGTCGAGCTCGAGCTGGAGTCGGCACGCGAGGAAATCGCTTCGCTGCAAAAGAAGGCTAGTAGCTTGGAACTGCGAGTCGAGGAAGAGAAAGCGTCGGCTGCGGAACTCGCAATGCGGTGCCAAGAACTGGAGGAGCTTCGATCCCAGCTGGAGTCTTCAAATTCACGGATCGTTGAGCTGAATGAGAAGGTTAAAATGCTCGAGGACGTGATCGAGAAACAGAGGCCAGTGACGGTGGAATTGGAGTCTCAGCTTCAGTCGAGGCACGCTGAAATCAGTAGCCTGAAGGAGGATATGAGCCTGTTGCAGAAGAAGCTGGAGAGCCAGAAGAACCTGTCATCAGCTTACATATCTGCACTGGGTGCTTCTGAAACTGAGAAGAAAGAACTGGCTAGTCGGTTCGAACTCAGAGAGAAAGAAGCCAAGGAATTACGTGGGAAGATGAGCTTGCTGGAGGAACAGATCCATAAAGAGAGGGCACAGTCATCCGAGTTTGCGGTAAAATGTCAGAAGATGGAAGAACAGATCTCCTGCAGATCACTTCTTGGCCACCAACTAGTGAAATATGTGGCAATCAAAGATCTTCAGATCAGAAAGGTAAACTTCCATTCCATAGAACAAAACTGGCACTTCACTGCCATTCATTCACTTGTCTAATTATTTTCGATAAATTCTGGTGGTGATTGGTAGATTTGTTACTCATGAAATCCTACACTTTTTTTACAGGAGACAGATCTGGCCAAGGCTGCAGGGAAACTGGCCGACTGCCAGAAGACGATAGCTTCACTGAGCAGCCAGCTGAAATCCCTGGCAGATTTCGATGAATTCCTCCCTGAAACCGAGACCAGTGGCGCTGACTCAGCCGACGCCTGGGACAGCGATCTGAAGCTGCTCCATCCTGCAACTGCAAGTTATCCCACGCAGATTGGTTGTTTGGCAGTCACATGATTCACGATCCTCGTTGGCAAGTGGGGACAGCGAAACTATTTTGGCTTGGCTTCCGCCGCATGATTGCTGTGATGAGATTGCCATGATCTTCCACCACATGTCATATAGAGTTAAATATAATAGTCTATAGGTGAGCAAATGTCCATATGGATGCTGTTTATAGAGTTGGTTGGTGAAGCCACAAAGGAACTCATATTGAAGATTATCTTTGATCTCCCATTCTCCCTGTCCCTTGGAAATGGGCAAATGGCTTTTACCCAACATGAGTTCCATCTTGATTGTTCCGGCGATTTATATTTTGCAGGACTGCTTGTATAGTGAATGGAATAATCACTTAGATCTTAAACATCCTCAATGTCAGAAGACTCCAGAAATAGTGAAATACACATGGCATGCCAATCAAGAGAATGTAATTAATAAAAAAAACAAGGGCAGGTTCATATGACGGCACGTTCCCACCGGACATGCTACCACTCCAGAAATACAAATTGAAGGCGTGAAGCCAGCCACACCCCTACGCCGAACCATACCCGAGCCCGAACCCCAGACCCTACCTTGTCAGGGGGTAGCAGCACAATAGCGGAAGACGATCTGGAGCCTGGAGGATGGCAGCGTGCGAGGGCTCAACTGGAAAGAATCGGCAGCGGGTCTGCCCCTAGAAAGTTGCCCACACTATCATACAGATATCTGAAGGGGCCCTGAGAAGGCATCACTACACATCATACAGTGAAGAGAATAAGAGATACAGGCCCTGTTCGCTTCGCTGAAAAACTAGACTGAAAATTATTGTTCGCTGATTTGTTGTGAGAGAAAAACGTTATACCATGGCTAATAAGTTCAGTCGATAGGTGATATATATATATAAGAATGGACGGTGAAATTCCCTTGCAGGGTTTCAAAAGGGATACACGGTTCCAAACAAACTACAACACAAAATTGTGTAATTCTGCAAAATCAAGTAAACGGCAGGTAACGAGATAAATGATACTTGTTCTAGGCGACCAGCTGTTTCTTGCTCTTCTTCTTCAGGCATTTGCTTCTTTCTCCAGATTTTCTTCTCTTGGGACTGCACATTTCACCGTCGCTGTCTTGCTCCTCGTCCCCTTCAATAGTTATACTCTTCTTTTTCTTCTTTTCTTTTCTGGCATATATTTCACCATTAATATCGCTATGGTCGACCACTCCAACTTGTTCTTCGTCCTCTTCAATTGTTTTACTCTTCTTTTTCTTCTTTTCTTTTCGGACTTGAGCCTCAGTCTCATCCTCTGTTGTCTTACTCTTTTTCTTCTTTTCTGTTCGGACTTCAGCCTCAGCCTCCACTGAAGACTCCAGTTGCTTGGATTTCGTCTCTCCAGGCTCTGGCAATAATAGTGTTAGCATAGGACCACGTAGATGTACCCAGTGTAGAGAGCTCCCGCTTTGTGCGAGGTCTGGGTAAGGGTGTCAGTGGCTAGCCTTACCCTCGCCTGTGCAATGCGAGGAGACCGCGACTCGAACCCGGGACCTTCCGGTCACAGGCGGTAAGACTCTACCGCTTGCACTAGGCCCGCCCTTGTCAGGGGGTAGCAGCACAATAGCGGAAGACGATCTGGAGCCTGGAGGATGGCAGCGTGCTAGGGCTCAACTGGAAAGAATCGGCAGAGGGTCTGCACCTAGAAAGTTGCCCACACTATCATACAGATATCTGAAGGGGCCCTGATAAGGCATCACTACACATCATACAGTGAAGAAAATAAGAGATACAGGCCAATGGGATTTATGAGTAATGCCATTTCAGGTCTACAGGCTAAAAAGGTTCTAGGGGCTGCCATCTCAACCACCATGTTATTCAGGATATGTGATTGTTAACATTGCCTATTGTTTAACTTATTCGAATCTTCTAAACTAAGAAAATGCATTTGAAACTACAAACAAGAAACAATTGGTGAGCAGTGATAACTGTTGTGGATAGATAATAACCTTCAACAGAAAAATGTGAATCAAGGACCACAGTTGAAAGATGCTGCTTCAGAAAGACCTGCACAAGAACAAAACAAGACAACTAGTTAATAATGGAAATAGCTCAAATATATTAGAAATAATTCATTTAAATTGAAGTAAAAGTTTGAAACAAGCATACTATCAACTGTCAGTGACCAAGTTACTACATTTTGTTTGTCAAATAAAATGGAGGTCCAAAATTAGATCGCAATGAAGTAAAACAAAATTAACTCCAAGATATGCTTGAATGTTATGTCAGCACTAAGCACTCAGAAGTTCTTGAGCTTACAGCGGATAGCAGCTGTCTTGTGTTTGTGTCCCAGATACGTAAGTAGCTATCCAGTCCTACAAAGACAAATATTTCCCAAGTTATCCATAATTCTGAAACTTGATGTTTTAATTCGTAACAGAAACTATCTGGAATGTCAAGTGAAACAGGCATCCCAGTAGAAATAAATAAGCCTTTCTGGAGGTAGCCTCACCACAAGATGCTATCAAAGGTAGCTCTGGATGCCTAACAATAGATCTAATACTTCCACTGCATTTGCCAATATAGCATCCCAGCAATTTCCCTGAAAAAAAAGGGGGGGAAATATTGATTTTGCAATTTTGGTAACAAAGAAAAATCAAAATACTAATAGCAATAATAAAGCTGTCAAATGGTAGCTCATCATCGCTTCCACAGCACAAACATGAGGGTATCTGTGAACCTGTGCAAGTTACATATATCAAACCATTCTCTTCCGTTACAGTGTTACTGATAACCTATTTTATATCCTTAACTATCATCTAAACAACAATTTTATATAAATTATTATAGCCCATGTTCAGCCCGCCCACAATGTGTATTCCTATCAATACACATGTAGGTCAGCATTACTTTAGTTGTAATACCATCTTAGCTGCAGATTACTGGCTAGCTGGAGAAAAAAAGGTACCAACAGTGGAACAGAAGGTGCATTGCCAGTTGAAACCATCCAACATTACAAAAAAAAAAGAACTAACATAACATTCTAAGGAATGTATCATATGATCAAGTTTTCAATTCTGTGTTTAAGAAGAGGATAACATATAGCAGCATGCCAGCACACCACACCTGTTCTCATGTCAAAGGAAGCAAGATCCCCTGTTCCTGTGCCAATATAGACATCGTGGCCATTCGGATCAGCAGCAACTGCCTTGATTGGTGACTCCCTAAAATCAACAGAGATGGCAGGTCTTCTTTGCAATGCAGTATCATACAAGCGGACCTGAAAAAGGTAAACGTCAACAACAACAACAACAACAACAACAACAACAACAACAACAACAACAACAAAGCCTTTAAGTCCCAAACAAGTTGGGGTAGGCTAGAGTTGAAACCCAGCAGAAGCAATCAAGGTTCAGGCACGTGAATAGCTGTTTTCCAAGCACTCCTATCTAAGGCTAAGTCTTTGGGTATATTCCATCCTTTCAAGTCTCCTTTTATTGCCTCTACCCAAGTCAACTTCGGTCTTCCTCTGCCTCTCTTCACGTTACTATCCTGGCTTAGGATTCCACTACGCACCGGTGCCTCTGGAGGTCTCCGTTGGACATGTCCAAACCATCTCAACCGGTGTTGGACAAGCTTTTCTTCAATTGGTGCTACCCCTAATCTATCACGTATATCATCGTTCCGAACTCGATCCCTTCTTGTATGACCGCAAATCAAAAGCAACATACGCATTTCCGCGACACTTATCTGTTGAACATGTCGTCTTTTCGTAGGCCAACATTCTGCACCATACAACATAGCAGGTCTAATCGCCGTCCTATAACATCATTCGCATAAAAATGCTCAGTATCACCATTCGTATAAAAATGCTCAGCATCATCATCATTGCATTAGCAAAATGTGGAGATACCAATGTCTTTACATGAACATGCCTTGCTACTACTGCCTACAAGACTATAATGACATAAGCGCAATAAATTGCCTTTTAGTCTATATAAGCTACGATGGAATATAGTATAACCCCCCAGTCAGTTAACAGATGCCCGAGTCACAAAGTGGGTTGTGAAGGTGCGACAGTCCCATAACATTTGAAGCTCGATGCAAGACCTGGTTAACCATTTTATACAAAGCAAGGATGAAAGTGTAAGCATGTAGCTATCTGTAGGTCAGTTCCATTTGGAGTATGGCTTTGTGCAAGTTCTTAGCCTGGGATATTAGATACAAAATCTGTATCATGCATTCAAACCAACATGCATGAACTTAAAAGCAGAAACTAGCGCCCTTGCAGTTCAGGCACATGATAATCTATTTGATCAAAATATGTTCAATCTATTGGGAGTTTTTCCTTGCCATAGCAAGAGATACAGGCATCATTTTACATTACCTGATGATCATTAGTGCAGGCTACAACTTTACGATGATCATCCTTGCACAAGAAGGTCCCAGCAGTGAACCAAGGTCGAGTGAATATACCAAGACTATTTGCTCGGGGCTTCATATGAAACAAAGAAAGAAAATCATTTAATAAAGGATGAAGGTCTTCTATATTAGTATCAGAGAGAAACTAACAAGGTCAATGAGTGCTTACAGATTTAGCAGACCATATCTTACTACAAGATGTGATATCCCACAAGTTCACTTCTATACCTTTCCTAAAACAAATGGAACCATTATTTCTGGAACTTAAAAAAATTGCTTACAGATTTCCATGTCAAATAGCAAAAATGCTGAACAAAACCAATAAAGTTCAAATGCAAATTTTGAACTAAAGCAGATAAACCCTATTTCAGGTTCTTTAAACTCACCCTCCAAACATCGCATAGCTTTCGCCATGATCAACTGAGCAAAATTGCAGATTGGCCCCACTGCACACATCCCATGTGGCTGATGGCCCAACATCCGAGCCCGAAGCTGCATTTTCTTTCGTGATGGACCACATAGAAGCTTTCCCCTGCTCCGTGCAGGCAAGAAACGTTCCTATGCTGCAATGCACAATTGGGTCAATATAACTTGGCCACCAGCTAATAGCATGAACTAAGAACCTAGA